CACAATGACATGCTAAGGGAGTTCATAGCCCTTGTGAAATGGGACTTGACACTCCTCAAATCTACGAGAAGCAGGTTATAAATTTTAAACCTTAGTGGAAAAAAAGGAGGAAAGAATTTCACTAAGAACACACAAACTCTAAGGAAGAATTAAAATACACAGAACTCATTTAGCAATGATGACCTATTTTAAAACTAGAGGGCTGGTTTTGATTTGGTTTGTTTGCTGTTTTAGGGGGGTGACACCAGTAATGGGTTATAGGTTTGCCTCCTGGGCTGTGGGCAGCAACGGGGAGCATGGTGGGAACTGTAGGCTGAGGCCCCGGCTGAGCTCTGACCCACTGGGCGCCACAGAGAAAGCTGGCCGGGCTCCCCACCTTCCCACCTTCGCCGCCGCCCAATCCTTGCCCTCTCTCTGGTTCTGAGTGTCTCTCACCTTCTCGCGGGTTATTTCTTCATATATGTCTTTTTCTCTCTCTGCCTCTATTTCTACCTCTCTGTGTCTCCCCTGTCTTTCTTTCTCTCTCTCTCACTCTCTGGTTTTGATCAAAACAATCTTGAACTGATCAAAAGAGAGCTGAATAATATACTTTTGTGTGTTTGTTTTATTTATTGAACGGTATTTTGTGTTTTCCACCTCATACAAAGGCAGGCAGGTGGGTGGAGTATTTTCTGTCCATCTGGAAGACAAATAGATAGTGGAGTTGCATATGTATGACCCTGGATTGATTCCTACCACAGCTCCTCCCAAAACCCAGAAATTGGGGACCAGCAATCGAACGCAAGTCCCAGCCCAGAGCTCCTACCCTAGAGCAAGAGAGGACCTGGGCTTGTTGCCCGACATGTGGGTGAGGGCGAGCAGCATGACGGCAGGGAGCATGCAGAGGTGGGTGTATGGATGGAGATCCCAGCTGGCAACCGCCCATTCTCAGACATCGGGCCTTTCCAGGACGGGCTCTGCCACTCTCCAGGTTTTGCCTTGACCCTCCTTGAGTGAACTACCCCCAGGACCTGAGCTCACCTGCGGCTGCACCCCTCCACACCTGTGCTTGTGCAGCTCCCTCCCTCTGGCATGCCTTCACCACCCCAGGCTCTGTTCACCTGGTCATAACCTGCCCAAATACTGAGGTCCTCCCTGATCCACGGAACCAGCTAGAACAGACTCCTCCTTCGTGCCCCACTGTGATCAGAGGTGGGGTCTCAGTCATCCTGGTTTCCCTAGCGCCCAGCACAGTGCCTGGCACACAATAGGTATTCAATCAACACATGTTGGAAAAAGGAAGAGGGATCCCATACGAAAGTAGAGAATTTTTTGTCTCCCACTTTAGCAGAAGGAAATCAAAGCGGACAAACTTGGCCCTAGCTCTGAGGTTCCCTCCCAGACCTGCTCTCCTCCTCTAGGCCTGCCCCTACATGCCCTGCATGCCCGCCTCCCGCCCGCTCTCCAAGGCTCCCTCCCCCATGAAGCCTTCTGATGCCCCACCACCAGGGGAAGAAACCTGTCCTTCATCTGAGCTCCCGGCTACCTTATTTGGACCTCTCTTATGGCTGTTTCTGCACCCCCACGTAAGGCACACACACCAAGACTGTCACCCCCATAACCCACACAGTGAGTCAGCCCCCAGAGGGTGGAACCTTCACAATGACCAGATTTATGAGTATATGAAGGCATCTCTGCCATCCCCTGGGAGGAGAAAAAGCCAGAAGTGACAGTCCTGCGGGTGGACAGGAAAGGGCTGGAGAGTCAGGGCCCAGCCTCCCAGCGTGGCAAGGCGGTGCTGGGCACAGGCAGTCTCACCCCCAGCAATATGGGATCAAAACGTTACACTACCTTGTCGGCCAGTGGGTCTCCTGGTCCATCTTCGCCTTTCCCAACACTTAGCTCTGACTGCTTGCAATTAGTATCTGAGAGGCAATCTAAAAGAGTCAAGCTGCATTATGGAGACCCCCGACAAAATGCAGGGCACAGCTCATCTCGTGGAGAGTGGCTCAAATGGCAAAGGTTGGTTCCTTCACCTACTCAGCTGGGCCTTACCAAGGAAATAAGATCAAGAAAGTGGTGTTTGTCTTTAGCATTTATTCATAATTGGAAAAGCTGTTTGTTTGTTTGTTTGTTTTTTCTGAGCAAGCACAGACCACAAGCACGTCACAATCAATTGGCTATACATGAGTATTTTTGTCATTTTCTTACTAACAGCAGGAATGAAATAGCACCAAGAGAGGTGTGCGCTACACGTTACATAGACAATCTGTGGTATGCAACAAAACCCAGGCCACAAAATCGTGTTTAGACACTTCCTGTCTGCCTCAGAGAGGCACAGGTATAACGGACCGAATGGGAGCACCAGCGGGTAAAGAAAGCTTCAGAGCCAATGCACAGCCTTAGGGGTTATCTTTGCAGGCGAGCGAAGCAGACAATGGGAAAGCTTCGGTCCTCGCTCTTTTGCCACGGGAGATCAGGGACCCACGGGGAAAGGTACAAAACTGGGCGGAACAGGCATTGGGAGCTTGGTCACCTTCAGAAAGGCAGAACCAAAACACTGCTTGTCAAACGAAAATCAGTTTCTATCAGTATATTTGGGATGTAGAACGAGACTGGCTGAGTTTTATTTGTAAACAGTAGAAATCAAAGGAGCTTTCTTGCCAGTTAAGCGGCACATTCAAGAGTCCAAGTGAACTATAGACAGGCTTCTCTCAGGTGGAGGTGTTAAAAAGATGGGGGCACTGAAGGGTTGAAAAGACATTAGACAGGTCATCTAAAGCCTCAGGTGGGGCAGGGTGGGAAACATCCCTGGGGCTGCGAGGTGGGTGGGAAACTCTATGATTTGGGCAACACAAGCTTGAATCAGACACAGGGATCGAGTCAGACATCTCCTTCTGGCTGTGCTGCTGTGGAGACAGACTTATTTACACCACCCACCCTGTCTAGCACAGTATCTGGAACAAAGGCATTCAACAAGTGAATGAGTGTTCCCCCATGCGTTGTAAAGTCTGATTTCCCTGATCTGCAAAAAATATATGACTATTCTATGGAGAAATCCAAATTGTGGCTAATATCAACTCGTCTGACTAATGCCAGATCTTGAGGGAATGAACATACATTGGCAAATTCTCTGGATAAAGTTAAGATCCTGTTGGTAGAGCTCTCTGGTTAATGTTAAGATGAGCTAGCAAATAGCTGGAATCAGTACTGAGATCCACTCTAGTCATTTCCAGATAGGCATCAAAATCTGTGATTCATAAACACTGAAACTCACTAGCATTTTCTACCTTCTTCAGTACTTCTCCTTCCTCACAGTTCCATACCCCGAGATGGAAAGCAAGATGGCAGTGGGCCTGGACGAGCGCTTCAGTCCTTCCAGTCCTGTTCTCTTAAGTAATATGGCCCACGTAGCACATGCTCAGTTAATTTGCAAAAGACTTCTCAATCAGCCCCAAGGTGACAACCAAGATGGCGTAAACAGAGACTTTCTGCTTGAATGGTCAGAATACAGAGAGCTTGTGGAGGCTCCACTTCCTCCAGACTGGAAGGACCTGAAGGGAGTTTTGAGGTAAGGAACTGTGAGAACTTCACTCTATACGTCTTTCATTACAAAAGAAAAGTCAGCCTGAGCAGAGACTTTGCATCATACAGCAGCCCAGCGATTCCAGAATGCTGGCAACGGTAAGCACTTTAAGGACAGGAGAAATAAAGCGGGCTGGGCAGTACACGTCACAGGGTTTGCAAATGTAATTTTTCTGGTGGGTATTTTGGGTTCCCTCACGGGCACTGGGGGTCTTCTCACAACTCTCTGACTAATGCCTACAACACAATTCTAGCACAGCTAAGGCGGCACTTGCCACCACTGGGGGCTTTGGCCACACAGACACGTGACACATAATACAGTGAGAGCTGCTTTCATTCATTAATGAGGTCAAAAATCCTTGCTAAGCACTTAGCAGGGAACTCTCCTAGTCTTTAGCTAAGTCACAGAAATTTCCCATAACCTGAAGCTCAGCATCCTCCGTCCTCTCTGAGGACCAGAGCAAGAACAGTTCAGGAAGGGAAAGTAAACACCGCCACGCTGGCCACTACGTCTACCTCCCACCTCGTGTTTCTCAGAAGCAAGAAAGCCACGTTCTAAATACACTACCCCTAAACCTCGAACTTTCTTCCTCAGTCATCTGTAACCAGTTGCTCCACAAAATCAGCAGCACTGGAGAGGCTGAGGGTGAACAGAGGAAAACAGTCTCCTCATTTTCGTCATCTTCCTATAATGTCGAGAATGTATCTAAAACACCTAACCTTTTCACTCTGGCCTAGTTTTCGTCACCAGTGGCATTTCTATTACTTGGTATACAATTTAAAGCCCACTGATAGGAAACGAAAGGCAGTCACACGTTTCTGACAGAAGATTCTATGAAAAAATTACTTAACAGACACAACTCATTTTATTAAGGCTGAGGTTTTGTTTTTTGTTTTTTAAATATTTCCACAGATTTTGTCAATTGCTGAAGCCCAAGTTGAGCTTCTATAGCACGTGACAACTCTCTGAATTTTGAAAAAGAACACATTTATCTAAAGTTCAAAATTGATCACGGACAGACTTCGGGGGGAATAGGAGGAGGACACCCCACAGACATTTCTAAGCACTACCAGGAGGTCTCCTTTGCAGCCATGTCAGAACTGCCTCTGTGCTAAGCCCTGCCCTCCCCCCAGCATGCGGGCTCACCTGCCATGGGAGGCACGGCCGGTGAGCTACGCTGCCCGGTGTTCCAGGGGCCCGGTGGCGTGGACCCCATGGCCACGCTCGGCCGGTTGGTCTGGTTTGGAGAGGAGGCATGCCACATGGTCTTTGAAACAGGATTCCTCCATTCAAAGAAACCAAACCAGAGAGCTCCTGGAACACTCAGGACACAGGCAGATGAGAAGCCTCTAATCAATTTTGTGGCCTTTTTTGTTGGTTGGTTTAAAAAAAAAAAAAGCAGAGAAGAATGAAAGGAAAGTGCAGTGACATTTACTCTTTCGCCTCAGCCAGCTTATTGTTCATCTCTTTACTGTGCTCCTGGTCATCGGGCGGGGCGGCGCTGGCGCCCTCCGTGCTCTTTTTCTTGGAGGCCCGGCCTGACGCCGCCTGCTTGTCTTTGGCCTTCCTCGGGGGCTTGTGGCTCGCTGAGGTCTTTTTTGGTTTGGAACTCTGAACACTAGGTTTCTCCACCTGCACGAGGAGACAGACAGACAGACCGCAAATACAGAAACAGAAAAGGGGAGGGAATAGAGACAGAATTTAGAGAGAAGACATGGTTAACTAAAGGATAACGGTAGTGATAACATTTGACACTGAGGGAGCACAGTGTATAAAGTATCGTCAGTGACCTTACGTCATTTGGCTTCTCCTGACTGAACCCTGTTGTCAGTCATCTTGGCAACACTCTCGCTGGCCACATTGGCTCCCTGGCCTGGGAGCTCTCACCCCTGGACCACCCCAGGCAGTGGACTATGTTACTATTTTGCAGTATCTGCTGCCCTTCCCTGTAGGAAGATTACACCTCATCGCCATGTTCAACTCAGGCAGGCAAATGATTTGCTTTAGTCAATGAAATGTGAGCAGAAGTGACATAGGTCACCTCCAGACAGAAGATCAAGAGTCAGCCTGTGCTTCCCAATGCTCTCTTTTCCTCTGCCACAGACAGGGGCTGCTCCATCACCCCGAGTCCCAGACTGAAGAGGTGATGAGGAAGAGAGTGAGAGCCAACCCACAATGGACATGTATTAATAAGAAAAGAAACCTCTGTTGGTGGAAGACGGAGAAACTCTGGGTGGTTTATACCACAGCCTCAGCCGGCCACAACTCTGTGTCTGTCTCTAGGATGGTGAGCTCATGTGGAGAAGTGTCCTCGCTGAGATGCTTGGCCCAGGCGGGCTCGGCTCAGCGAGGCCTTCAGCACTGCCCAGCCATCCGCTCCTCCTCTCTGGCTGGAACCTTGGGCCGCTTTCCCCAGAGCAGCTGTTCAAGCCCACTCCACTCTCCCCACGCTGCCTCCTCTAGCTCTGCCCCCTCATTCCTAGGAGATGGCCTTGCCTTTTCCTTCTCAAGAACTCTGGGGCCACTGGGTATGATCCCTCAATATGTCACCCACCTCCCATCCCTCTCTAGATTTACTTTCCCCAATCTTCCCTCTTTCCTCCCCTTGAATCTTCTTTCATCCAAAGCCAACCCCATGTCCTGGGTCCCACCTCATCTGTGGAAGGTTGACGGAGACGACATTGAGCCTCACAGGCTAGGTCATTCACTCAGTGAGGTCCAGGCGTTTTCATCCACCCCTGACCTGTACATGAGGTAACCAATTGTCCTGGTTTGCCCAACACGGAGGGCTTTCATGGAGCATGGAACTTCCAGTACTACAACTGGAGGAGTCCAGCCAAACTGGGTCGGTTAGTTACCTTACCTCTAAACCAGTCCTGGACCAAATACAAAACTCCACTTGAGTGCAAGACTTTAGGGCAAAAGCAGAGAAAAGGCTATTCACGTTCTCAGACTTTTTCTGCTATTACTGATAGGAGAGCTGACATTTGCACAATTCCGTGTGGCTTGACGTCCTAGAATAAGCTATGGCGTGTATGATTCCGGCTTCAGCAGCCAAATCTCCAACATGCTTCTCCCTTTCGTGAACGCATATTGGGATGCAAATGAGACAACAAAGTGTTATTATAGGAAAATCCCTGCATCTACCGTAAGTTACTTAGAAACGTAATTCATTCACAAACTGTTCGTTATAGTCACAAATTACTCAGAACACACCTTGCAGCTGATGCAACAGGTGTGTTTCGACAGATGGTGTTTATCGAGGGAAAGGATAAGAAAGGGCAGGCGGTTTTCAGGGACTCAGGAGGTAAGGAAATGTCTGTGATTGGAGCTGAGGATGAGGCAGGGGCCGGGTGGGAACGCAGCCAGGCAAGGATGCCTCTAACACCAGGCCAGCTCTTCCGGGGCAAAAGCACACTTATTTTAAGACAAGGGGATTTAGGGCTCAGGTGAGATTTCTCTCACTTTTTTCCTGGGATTCTCAAAATCAGAAGCTAGTTCTCTGGAAATGTGCTAGACTTCAAGCTGTTTTTATTTTAAGTACTATTCCTTTTTAACATTCTCTTTGAATTGAACAAAGGCTCCTGCTAAAAAGCCCCTCTGTTTCAGTGTACTAAAGAGAAATGGAGGGATTTTAAAAGAGCTTTGGGGGCTGGGCCAGAGTGGGCAGTGGCCCCGCCCCCATGCTCTGCTGCAGTTAACCCCTCCTTTCCAGGCTGGGCTGATGGGTTCTCCACAGGATCTGTCTCACCTTCGGGGGTTCCTTGAAAGGTTCGCTGTAGAGGCTGCGTATTCTTCTGCGATCAATGACCTTATTGTCAGCTGGTGTTGGCTTATTGGCCTCCCCTTTGAACTGGGCGCTGTAGCTAGTCTCATGAGCCATCTTGTCATCTGGGGGCTTGTACTGGGGCTTGGCTTTTATCGGTTTCACAGGCTTGATGTCCGTCCATGCTCTGAACTCATTCCTGTGAATCAAAGAAAGCATAAGTGATAGGAAACATCGTATGCCCAGAAGTGGTGCTCCTCAAACAGGGCTGCACACACAGCAAGCTCTCCACTGGTGCTCGCGGTGCTGAGGAAGTGTGGCTGCAGATTAACTTCACTGCTTCCTATGGGTAAGTGCGAGCTGTCCTTCCTGCCAAGCTAATGCAGGCTGTGGCAAGAGCTCAGGCCCCCAGCTCCCACTGGGTGATCATGGATAGGCAATTCTAATCTTTGGGCCTCATTTTCACAATATCTAAATGAGGCTGAAACAACTCAATCCATTCAGTCATTCATGGGTCCAACATATATGATTGAGTGCCCGCTGTGTGTGAGATTAGAGCTGTGAAAGTTACACGATGAGACCATGCGTTAGACAACGTTCCTGGCATGTTATGGCCAAATGACAAGTGCCAGTTCCTTCTCCCCTTTGTCATGATGAAGATCCTTTGTTATCCAGAATCCTTAGGGATAATTCCTCCCTTTGATAGCAGAAGGCCTACTTCTTATACTGCCAGAACCTTGACAATCTTAATCACATTAGACGAAAATCATTATGAAATGTCTGAATGCTTGCAGATCATAAATAAGCAAAATGTACTGAACATAATTCAGATATCACTATTAGGACTTGCATTGGGATATGAACAGGTAGGAAAGACTTCATGTGCTTCGGTGTGAATAGCCATTGGTCCTTACCCTAAATGACCCCCATCTGCTGCTTTTTTTGAGTCAGGGTGTCAGTTTTCTTGTTCACAGCAATCTCTCTCGTGGTTTCTAATCAGCTGTTTCTGATCTGTTATAGGACTGGAGAGTAGATGGTGACAGTGTTCAAAATAGAGTAAAAAAAGGTAGCCGCTGATGGAGGCCACAGGGTCTATCCTGTTCATTGAGTGCATGACATTCAATGCATAAGCTCTGTTGCTCCTGAGGACTTGATCAGGTCTGTTCTCATTTGGGGCCACGAGAAGCTGTGTTGTGGGAAAGGAAGTCAGTGTGTGAACACCTGTGGAGGTAGGTTCTTCCAGTGCCCTTTTTCACCCTCATTGATAACTCCCTCCTTCAGCACTCAGAGACAAGTGCCACCAACAGGAGGCCACAGGGGATGGAGGGAAGAAAGAGTTTAGACTGCGACAGAGACACACAGGTTCTAGCCCCAGCACTGCCTCTAGCTAGCTGTTGAGCTGGCCTCTCCCTTCTCGAAGCCTTAGTTTCCTCATTTGTCAAAAGAATTAGACCAGACAATGTCCTTATAATGTCCTTCTAGCTCTGATGCTCTCTGAGTCAATAAAGCCAGTTTGGTGACACCGAGCCACTTGCTGGTCATTTGATCTCCTGAGGGGAATTGGCTCATACGCGAGCAGACAGATCACAGTTTCTTTTCTTTTCTTTTTTATTGAGGTAACATTGGTTTATAATAAATTGGTTTATATAAATTTCAGGTGTACATCATTATAGTTCGACTTCTGTATAGACTACATTGTGTTCACCACTAAAAGTCTAGTTGCCATCCGTTATTGTATACATCTGCCCCGTTAGCCCTTTCACTTCCCCCATATATAAAATATATAAAGAACTCATACCACTCAACAACAACAAAAATAAAGAACCCGATCAAATAAATGGGCAGAGAATCTAAGCAGACATTTTTCCAAAGAAGATATACAGATGGCCAATAGGCACATGAAAGGATGTTCAACATCACTAATTATTAGGGAAATGCAAATCAAAACCACAATGAGATATCACCTCATGCCAGTCAGAATGGCTATAATTAAAAAGACAAGAAATAACAAGTGCTGGAGAGGATGTGGAGAAAAGGGAACCCTCGTACACTGCTGGTGGGAACGCAAACTGGTGCAGCCACTATGGAAAACAGTATGGAGATTCCTCAAAAAATTAAAAATAGAATACCACACGGTCCAGCTATTCCACGGCTATTCCATGGTTTCGTATTCCAAAGAACACGAAAGCAAAGTTTCCTAAGAGACCTTCCCCCAAGCTTCAGACTCGCCGTTCCAGTGTAGCTTGGACCTCCACCTAGGTGTCCCCCCAACTCAAATTCAACGTTCCTAGAACCAAATCATCTTGTTTCCCCTTCCAGATTGTCTTCTCTTCTTGGATTCCCTCATTGCTCAATGTCACCCATTCATTCATTCATTCACAAAATATTTACTGAGTGCTTAAGGTCTGCCAGGCAGGATGCTGAGCTCTGTGAAGTCCAAACTGAGTAAGAACAGGCCCTGGGCTCAAGGTGTGGGAGGCAGAGGGAGTTGAGGTTACTCCAGGATGATAAGATAAGAGTCAGGAAGGAGGAGGGAGTGGGGAGCACAGAGGAGGAGCTCCCAAGCCAGCCCAGGAGTTGGCCAGAAGAGTGGGGAGTGGGTTCCAGCAAATGAGGCGTACGTGAAGAGGCTCATGAGAGGCACAGTCCCCTGTGAGGACCTGCAGGCAGTTCAGGTGGCTGGGCTGAAGGTTGCTCGGGAAGGGCAGGAGAAGCTGGACAGATCATGAAGGTCCTGCAGCCACGCTAAGGGGACGGCCTGTACCGTAACGAAGAGTTGTGAAATGATTTCAAGCCAAGGACGAGTGTGGCCAGGTTAGTTTTGGGGAAGAGAACTTCGGCAGCAGTGTGAATGGTGGACGGAAGGGGAGAGGTGAGGGGGGAGGCCAGGCTGGAGACTGTGCAGGGAGCCAGAAGGAAAGCAGAGGCTTGAACCAGGGGAGTGGCAGTGGGGACAGAGAACAGGGCACCGAGTCAAGAGGGAAATGGGCAGGACTTGAAAACAGCTGAGCTGTGGGACGCCAGGGTCAGAGAGGAGTCTGGGGAGCCTCGAGGATTCTGGTTTGTGGGTGGCAGTGCTACCCACTGAGATGGTGAAAATGGGGGAAGAAGGGGGTTTGGGAGGAGGGTTGAGACCCTCCTGACTCTGTAATGGCACCCATCCACTCCAGCATCAAGCTGCCTTTTGAGCCTTTTCTCCCCTCCACTTCTCCCTTCTCCACTTCCATAGGTTCAACCAGGTATGATGACCTGACTTCTGAGCCATTTTGGCTCTACACACAGGCCTCGGGCCGGCCCGGGTTACATGTGGGGCTCTGGCCACCATCTCCTGCCTAAAGCTCCAGGCCTTCCCTCCTTCCTCCCGCCCTTCAGGACCCAAGCCCTGCCGGAGCCTCTGATACTCGGCCTGGACCTCCCAATAGACAAACCAGTAACACGCTGGCTCCCGAATATATGATGGCAGAAACCTGGATTCTCTGCTCCCACCCTTGCCTGCCTCCAGAATTAGGACTGAGAGAGGTAGACACCGGCCCCAAGCACTGTTTCTGGGTCACCTCTCCCAGGCCAGCCTCTGCAGCATTCTGCAACTCTGCAGCGGCCCCTGTGGAATGGCAAGTGTCTTGCAGTGAGCATCATCCATGAGATGTGTCCTTGTGGGAAAAGCTTGGTAACTCATGATCTTGAACAACTTTGGTCCATCATCTCCTTATGAGACCATGTTAATGAGACCCACAATGAGTTCACTATAATTATGACAGACTGTTAGGTTTAAACCCAAATTCTGTTACTTAGAACTTTCTTTGAACTCTCCACAAAACCTTCCCCAGCCACATGCAACAACTAATCATATGTCATAAAAATAGAATTAGCTACCATTAATTAGTCACCTTTTATAAGCTGGAAGGTTGTTTTTGGTTTTTGGTATATTTTCTATAATCCTTACAACTGCGAAAGGAGGTAATATTAGATCCCTTTAACAAAAGAGGGTAATCAGGGCTCAGAGAGGTTAAATGGCTTCCTTAAGTCACACAGCTGGCAAATAGCAGCCCAGGTCAGTCAGGCTCCACAGCCCACATCCTTCCCCGAGCTGCAGCGTGCTCAGCCTGCCCTCATTGGAGGTGCCTGTGTGGGGTCTGGCCTGCTGTCTGCAATGCCATGGAGGTTTTATACGACATAGACTGGACTAGATGATACCTGAGCTCCTCCAGCCCTGAGATGCTCCTTCCAGAGCAGTATGGACCACACTCTCAGGTCAGTCATGTCCAGTGCCTCTTGCCACAAGTTCATGGTTCCCTGTAACCATGAAATCCCCTTTCTGTGCAACCAGATTTCAGCTTGATCATTCATTCAGCATTTGCCAAACAGCAGCCATGGGCATGGCACGTGGCCCACAGGGAGGAGTAAGCCACGTTTGAGATGTCTATAGTTTAGTGGGTCATGATCTGTCCATGTATGACCCTAAGCAAATGGGACAGAGTTCAGAGGGAAGGAGGGAAAAAGATGCTTAATTCTGAAGGAGGGAAGGGAGCACTGAAGGATGCAGATAGAGAAGTGGATGAAGGGAATTCAGGCAGCAGTCTGCGTTTGTGTAGCAGGTTCAGAGCAGGTGAACGGCTCAGGGTGCAAGAGGGTGGGGTTCTTGGACGGATGTCAAGGTGACCGGGCTGGGTAGGAGCCGGGCCAAGCTGTACAGAGCCTTGAATGCCATGTTTGGATGCTTGTGTAGGCCTGGGGAGCCGCTGAACGTTTCTGGGCGAGGCAGCACGATTCCTCCATTGACGGTGTCCACCTCCTCTCAGACTGCCCCAATTTTAACTATTCTTCAAGGCCCAGCTCGGGGTTCTCCTCTTCTAGGAACCCCTTCTGGACTTCTCAGCTCAAAGTTTCCCATCTCTTGGCTCCTGGACCCTTTACTGTACTGTCCAATGTTGTGGTTACCCACACAGTTTCATGTTGTTCTTTAATTCTTTCATGAGTTCATTTCATCTCTCTTGAGGGACAAGATACTTAATAGAAAATTCATGACAGAACCCTACCTTCAAGCCTAATCTCATCTGCGTGGCTGTGAAGGGGTATCTTTTAACTTATCCTGTGTCAGGCTGCAGGTTAGGGGCAGAGCTGGGCGAGGACCCGTCTCTACCTGCCCCATCAGGGCCCTTCCCTCGCCCAGGCCACCACTCAGAGCTACGCTTTATATCT